GCTCACCAATCTTCATCAGGTACCAGCCTGCCTCTTTCTGCTGACACAGTTCATTATTGCCACAAACACCCCAGTGTGTGTGTGTGTGTGTGTGTGTGTGTGTGTGTGTGTGTGTGTGTGTGTGTGTGTGTGTGTGTGACAGCAAAGGAGAGGTTTATTTTATGTTGGTGTATGCTTGTGTGAGAAAGGAAGAAAGGAGAAAGAGAAAGAGAGAGAGAAAAGGAGAGAAATAGAAAGAGAGAGAGAGAGAGAGAGAGAGAGAGAGAGAGAGAGAGAGAGAGAGAGAGAGAGAGAGAGAGAGAGAGAGAGAGAGAGAGAGAAAAGGAGTTTTCTAAAACAGCTTCGATGTCGATCTGTTCTTTAGACGTTTTCTGGTGTAGGTAAATGTTTTCTATCATGCTTTAAGCTTGTTCCATCATGTTGAAGCTTTGTCTATCATGTTTTAAGCTTTGTCTATCATGTTTAAACTTTGTCTATCATGTTTAAACTTTGTCTATCATGTTTAAGCTTTGGTTATCACGTTTTAAGCTTGTCCATCATGTTTGTTGTGTCTATCATGTTTAAGCGTTTTCTACCATGCTAAGCGTTTTGTAGCATATCATAGACGCTAACCCCCCCAGACAGACAGAGACACAAAACAACGCCTCTGGGTATTATTTGAGACAGAGACACAAAAGCTAGCTGCTGAGGACGCACTTGAAACAGACAGACAAAAGAACGAAGCTAGGGGCGTTGAGACACAGACAGAGACAGACAGACAGACAGACAAAGAACGAAGCTTAGGGGCGTTGAGACACAGACAGAGACAGACAGACAGACAGACAGACAAAAGAACGAAGCTAGGGGGCGTTGAGACAGACAGAGACAGACAGACAGACAGACAAAGAACGAAGCTAGGGGGCGTTGAGACACAGACAGAGACAGACAGACAGACAGACAGACAAAAGAACGAAGAGGGGGCAAGACACAGACAGAGACAGACAGACAGACAGACAGACAAAAGAACGAAGCTAGGGGGCGTTGAGACAGACAGAGACAGACAGACAGACAAAAGAACGAAGCTAGGGGACGTTGAGACACAGACAGAGACAGACAGACAGACAGACAGACAAAAGAAGCAAGCTGGTGGTCTTACTGATATGGATGGGCCACAGCTACACGATGCGGGGTATAAATCATGGACAGTCATATTCACGCAGCTCCGCCCAGGGCCGCGAGCAAGACGGATTGCACGGCTCCTTGTTGCAAGAGGCTGTATGCATGACTGTCTTCTGTGTGTGTGTGTGTGTGTGTGTGTGTCAGTGTGTGTGTATGTGTTGGAATGTGCTACGTTGAAGTGAAGACAGTGTGTTGCTATACAGAGAATGGTGTTTATTGTAAAGTCTGCTACCTGACCTGACCTAACCTAACCCAATATGACCTAACCTAACCCAATATGACCTGACCTAACCTAAGCCAATATAACCTAACCTAACCCAATGTAACCTAACCCAATATGACCTAACCTAACCAAATATGACCTAACCTAACCCAATGTAACCTAACCCAATATGACCTAACCTAACCCAATGTAACCTAACCCAATATGACCTAACCTAACCCAATGTAACCTAACCCAATATGACCTAACCTAACCCAATGTAACCTAACCCAATATGACCTAACCAAACCCAATGTAACCTAAACTTAACCTAACCAAAATTTACACACACCCATGCTCACAATGAACCGTGCCAAATATTGCAACCAAACAGTATAATTATAGCAACTGTTGATGGCGTAGTGTGTAAAGTCCTTCAAGTCAAACACATTGCATTGGCAGTAAGATTGCAGAGCGTCGCCGTGTTGCAAGTCGTGCATGCATGACCGTCTCTACATAAGGTGTGTGTGTGCGTGTGTGTGTGTGTGCGCGCAGAGGGAGATGGTGTGCGCTGACCTTTGCAACATTGAGATTTGTTCTGTAAGCTTTTGTGAGTTTGAGGAGGACTGAGTGTATGTTTGTTTGTTTATTTGTGTGTTTGTTTGTTTCTGTGTTTTGGAGGTGTTTGTTTATGTTGTTTGTTAATTTAAGTTTGTGCGTGTTTGTGTTTGTTTGTGTGTATATGTATGTGTTTATGTGTTTGTATTTTTTTGTTTTTTTATATGTGCGTGTGTGTGATCGTAGCTCCTTTTATTTGGGTACGTTTCCGAATTCGTACGGGTTCGGTTTCAGGTTCGTTTCCGGATTCGTACGGGTTCGGTTTCAGGTTCGTTTCCGGATTCGTACGGGTTCGGTTTCAGGTTCGTTTCCGGATTCGTACGGGTTCGGTTCCGGGTTCGTACGGGTTCGAATTCGAGAGTTACGAGGTGATCCCATTAGACGGCAACAAGTACTGTACCAACACTCCTACAGGATACAGCCACCTTAATGTAGTACAGCGGTGTGTGATATTAAGTATCTCGGCCTTACAGACTCCCAGCTAATGAAATACTGTAACCTGACTCCTCGTGTCTCTCTCTCTCTCTCTCTCTCTCTCATATATCAAACACAAGGGGAGGGAGAGAAAAAGACATGCTAAGAGAGAGAGAGAGTTCACAGAACTCAAGTAAATAAAAAAATTAAAAAAGAGATAAAGAGAGAGATAGAAAGAGAGATAGAGAGATAAAAGAGAGACAGAGACATGTAGAGAGATTAATCGACACATAGAACCATTCATACGGATCACCACAAGGCCCAGTTTAATTCAGCTGTACAGTGACCCAATCTGTAGCCTGCCTGCCTACCTGCCTACCAACCTGTCACCCTACCTGCCTGCCTACCTGCCTACCAACCTGTCACCCTACCTACCGATCTGTCAGCCTACCTGCCTATCTACCTACCTATCAGCCTACCTGCTTACCTACCTGCCTATCTACCTGCCAACCTTCCAGCTATAACCCGAAAAAATCATAAATAAAATTGGTCAACATTGTTAGGAGAAAAAAAAACTGTTATCTGTTATGTTATTTCGGGATGAATCTTGTTTTTACCCAATAAAATAGTTGCTGTGTTTGGTTGAGCTTTTTACACATTACATTGTGGTGTTTTGTGTGTGTGTGTGTGTGTGTGTGTGTGTGTGTGTGTGTGTGTGTGTTTGGCTCGGCTTTTGTGTTGTGTGTGTTTGTGTTTGTATCTGTTTTTTTACGTATAACATTTTAGTGTTTTGTTGTGTGTGTATATTCTGCTTCTTTTTGTTTTTTTTTTGCAAATTTTGATTAATCTATTACGCATTTATGATTGTTTTATTCATTTATATTCATTTCTGAACATTCTTATCAAGAATTTACGCATTTACGCATATATATTGATGAGTACGATGACTTAACTCTTTGATAGCGATGATTTGTCCCCTTTAAAACAATGACGTCACTATTATTAACACCACAAGGCAGACGGATTCATAAACGGATTTCTCTTTAAGAACGGAGGCGGTAGACGAACGCCACCAGTCGGATTTACCACACTGCCACCAGCCCAATCTATATCGAAAGATTAGCGGATCAACTTTTCCTTTTTTTCGACGACTAGGGATGACTGGCGAATCATCTAGAACACGGGATTGGTTTGAGGGATGATGTGGTGTTTTATATACATAGGAAAGATTAGGTTATTCATTTTTTGGTGATTGGTATGTCTGTTTGTTTAGCCTACACGTGATTGGTTAATCCTCTGAAGCATAGAAGTAGTGGATTGGAGGTGGAAGATGATGTATAGATGGATAGAATAGATTTAAACGAAGATTGGATGATTAGATATTCGTTTTTTAAAGGATATAAGTGATTGGCGAATCATTCAAGTGGCGAAATAGGACATAGTAATTTTTAAAACACGATTAGGAAACTGGCGAATCATTTAGGACAAAGGATTAGGACACAGAGATGGACATGGTGACTCCCTTAACCCAGTAGACATGGCTGAGGACACAACAAATTGGGGGCAAATGTAATTCGGGTGACGCTTGGTACACACACACACACACACACACACACACACACACACACACACACACACACGCACACGCACACGCACACACACACACACACACATATATATACACACTCTCTCTTTGGTGTCATGTTTCATCGTGTAGTGTAGTGTAGTGTAGTGTAGTGTAGTGTAGTGTAGTGTTGCATCGTTTACCGTCGTGTAGCAGAGTACCGCATCGTGTCGCGTCGTATCGTGTACCGTCGTATCGCCTCGTGTAGCGTAGCATCGTGTAGGTAGTTTACGAGGTGTTGAGGGTGACATTGGTGTGTGGTGGTGATAATAATGGGGCTGGTGGTGATACTGCCTCCAGCCTCCATTCTCTTCTGCTTTGCATAGTTGTGGTGTCATTATCCTGCGTCTTGGGGGTAGTGGTGGTGGTGGTTATTGTTTCTGACACACACACACACACACACACACACACACACACATACATACATACATACATACATACATACATACATACATACATACATACATACATACACAAACACAGGTGATCGCGGCTGTAAAATTTTAATATTGCTCACCTGTACAAAGTTAATTAATGGTGCAACAATTCCCGCCAAAAAACGAGATCAGCTGATATCATACCTATGGGGGGGTGATGGGGAGAATCAGTACTGCCAACATCCAACATAAACAATGGTACCTCTTTTTATATAAGGGATTTAGTGGGAGAGAAAAAAAAACAGTATTGCCAACATCCACAAATAGACCAAAGTGTTGTTTATATTTTATGGGTCTTTTGCGCGGGAAAAAAAAACAATATTGCCAAAGTCTGCATATAAACAATGTCCCTTTATGCATTTACGATATTTGGCGGGAAAATCAATCGTAACAACATTGCCACGTTAACAAAGTGTCTTATTCCTTACGAGGTTTGACGGGAAAACCAGTTTTGCCAACATCTACACATAAACGCGAATGTGTATTCATGTATGTGTATCCTTTAACAATGTATGTATCCTCTAACACAGCGTATGTATCCTCACAGATGTTCCGGAGGCGAGGCTGAAGGTGGAGGGAGGGCGTGAGAGTGTGGGCGGTGGACGGGAACTGACGGAGGGGGAGGGCCTCACTTTCCTCTGTGCCGTGGACGCTGACCCTCCAGTCTACAACATCACCTGGCTACACAACGTGAGTACTACACCTGTCCTAGCACACCTGTCCAAGTACACCTGTCCATATACTGTACACCTGTAGCTGCTGTGTTCATTAAGGTCAGGTCAGTTCCCCTTATCGACAATAACGGTTTAAGATCATTAGATTCTTTCAGTACTTCAATCAGTCAGTGGATCAGTCAATCAATAATTCAGTCAGGCAGAGTCAGTCAGTCAGTCAGTCAGTCAAGTGAGGTATTCTTTGAGCTGACTGACGGAGCTATAATCACTTCTACAAGTTACAATAACCTTCACCAAAGATCAAGCTTAAGGCTGGCGGACGTTCGCTTGGCGTAGCTACCTTTAGGGTATTATTGATCGTTCGTGCTGCCTCCTGCTTGGTAGGTCACGTTCGTCTGGCATACCTTCGCCATGGTGTAATACTCGTGCTAGCTAACTCCCCACCAAGACAATGTTCACCGGAGTATAAACGCCCTCATTAGTACACAAAGAACAGCTGGTCGCGGCCTCGTCAAACAACAGATCAAAGAGACAGAGACTCAGCCACCAGCCACTGTCCCTTTAACACCAATACATGAGAAAAACTGATGAGGGGAATAGCGGTAAGAGAAGACAAGATAGATGGAAATTGATTCTCAGAAGAAACTCACAGTCTAGACGAGGAAAAAGAGAGAGAGAGAGAAAGTGAGACAGAAAGAGGTCATTTGTTAGGTGGGATACCGCAAGGCTGGCGCTTACCTCCTCCTCCTTCCTACACCAGATGATTCGTGATTGGTCAGCGGGAAGGACAAAAGGCGCTTATGCTCTCTGATACGAAGGGAATTATGAAGAACTTGGATTCCCTGAAGATTAACTACCCTAACGTTACCTGGAGATCAAGTTTAGGTTTAGTTAGCATTAAGTTATGTTACGTTAGATTAAGTGAAGTTTAGTTAGTTTTACTTTAAGTTAGGTTAAATTAGGTTAAGCTAAGTTACAATAGGACAAGTTACATTAGGTTTAGGTTAGGGTTAAATTAGGTTAGATCAGGTTAAGTTAGTTTAAATAAGGTTAGCGTTAGGGTGATTAATCTTCAGGTGATCCTAGAACCACGTACAAACAACAAATATTCCTCTCTCTCTCTCTCTCTCTCTCTCTCTCTCTCTCTCTCTCTCTCTCTCTCTCTCTCTCTCCCCTACCCTTTCAGCCACCCTCTTTCCATTTTCCACTGTTTGGTTTAATCGAGGCTTTCCCTTATATCAATTAGTCTACGGACGTCTTGTTATTTCATTTTCTCTCCTCTCTCACTCTCTCTCTCTCTCTCTCTCTCTCTCTCTCTCTCTCTCTCTCTCTCTCTCATCATGTCTGTGGGGTAGAGATAACACACACACACACACACACACACACACACACACACACACACACACACACACACACACCTCAGTAAACGAATTACAGCAAAAAAAAAAATGGCAAAAGCTCGTCAGGCGAACAATCCATAACCATGAAATTACGTAGGACGAGAACGTCAGACGCTGCTGAGTGCTCGTGGTGGCGTTATAAAGGAAGATGACGTCATTAGTGTAATTAGTAGTAGTAGTAGTAATAGTTGGTAAGTTTCCCCCAGTGTTGGTCCGATACTTGTCTTAACTCTCTGCACCTGTCCCCAACCCTGTGTGTGTGTGTGTGTGTGTGTGTGTGTGTGTGTGTGTGTGTGTATAGTTATCGTGTAATTGTGATATGTTTATGTGTGTGTGTTATTATTCTCACACACACACACACACACACACACACACACACACACACACACACACACACACACACACACACACACACCATCAAACAGTCATCACAACACCAAAGGTTCATCTTGTTCAACTGTTCCCATCATCACAAGAACAATATATAAATCACCTATATAAACTCTTCATATATCTATATCAATCATTTTATCACACTAATTTGGTCTCCGTTACGTTATATTAAATCGTAATAGAGCTAACGGCAATGCCTGTTATATTAAGGTAATTGGATAAAACGAATTTAATTTAAATCAATTATATCACCGTATATATGTGTGTATATTTTATTCTTAATTCGTGATTGGTCAGTGTGTTGTGACGTAGATTTGTTTTTAGTTGTATGCTTGGCGTTGATTGGTTGGTGCGTATCATCTCGTTGGTGAGCAATTGGTTCGTGTCTATTACGTCACTGTTGGCTATTGGTTTGCTTCGTGATGATTGGTTCTCGTGTATGTTACGTCACTTTTGTTTAATATATATACTAGGTGCTGATTGGCTCGTGGTTGATGTAGTAGAAATTATTGTTAGAGGAAAAAACTCTCTCTCTCTCTCTCTCTCTCTCTCTCTCTCTCTCTCTCTCTCTCACTAATGGAAGGTGATTATCTTCGGCTACAGGTTCGAGGGAGGCGTCACAAGGCAGCCGGATTCCATCATTCAGGATTTCAGTCAGATTTAATGCTATAGGAATTCGGCCATTGAGGATTTTACAGGGTAGAATTTAGGATTTAATGCTGGGATTATGTTGATGGTGATTTACTAAGGGTTGTTGGTTGTTGTAGTGGTGGTTGTAGTAGTGGTGGTTGTAGTAGTGGTGATATCAGTATTATTATTATTATTATTTAACTATCATCACTATTATCCAATATTCTCCCACACCCCCCCATTCGCCACTGACAATCTCCTCCCCATATATCCCACTTCCCTCATTTATTCTCCGTTCACCACCTCCACATTCATTCATCCTTCTATCCTACCTCCCACATTCATCCTCCGTTCACCACCTCCCATGCACTTTCTCAACCACACCTTCCAATAACCCATTCCTCTCCGTGTGTGTGTGTGTGTGTGTGTGTGTGTGTGTGTGTGTGTGTGTGTGTGTGTGTGTGTGTGTGTGTGTGTGTGTGTGTGTGTGTGTGTGTGTGTGTGTGTGTGTGTGTGTGTGTGTGTGTGTGTGTGTGAGTGTGAGTGGCCATAATTAACACTCGCCCCAAAATCCTCAATTTGGATTATGTGAAATTATTGGTCAGTTTCTGTGGTCTGCTATAACTTACTGAGTGGGGGGTGGGGGGAGGGGAGGGGGGAGGGGAGGGGGGGGAGAGAGAAGAAAGGAAGGAGGGGGAGGGAAGGGGGGAGAAGAAAGGCGGAAATGAGGGAGAGGGGAGAGGGGGGGAGAGGGAGGGGAGGTGGAAGGGAGAGGGGAAGAGAGTTAGGTGATGAAAAGGAGAAGGAAAAAATAAAAAGGATGAGGATGAGAGAGAAGAAGAAAGGAATGAAGGAGGGAGAGGGAGAAGGAGAGGGAGAAGCAAGAGGGGAGTTAAAAGGTCAAAGAAATAACGGAGGGAGAGTAAAGACAGGAAGATGATAGATGGATGAAAGGGAGAGGGGAATGAAGGGGAGAGAAAGGTGAGAGAGAGAGGAGAGAGAAAGGTGAGATAAGAGAGATAAAGGTAAGTGAGGGAGGGAGAGAAAAAGGTCCTCCCTAAAACCACACCTCCCTTTAGACTATACCTAAAATACTTAAAATAAATTACTTTAAATCTCTCTCTCTCTCTCTCTCTCTCTCTCTCTCTCTTACCCCCACCACCACTACCACCACCACCACCACCACCACATCTCTCTCTCTCTCTCTCTCTCTCTCTCTTCTTACCACCACTATCACTTACCACCACCACCACCACCACCACCAGTATTCACCACTATCAGCCTCCTCATCTCCACCACCTTACCTGTCGAAGGCGCAGCAGGTGGGCAGCGAGGGAGAAGACACCTGGTCGTGGGTACAGGTATATTGTGCTGGTCCACTGATGACTCTATCACTGTATCGACGCCAATATCCTCCCGTGTTGCTGCCTGTTATATTTAGGTGTGTGTGTGTGTGTGTGTGTGTGTGTGTGTGTGTGTGTGTGTGTGTGTGTATCTATCAATCTACACACACACACACTCAAAATAACTCTATCCTCCAGTTCAAGATGGCCGCTGGTTATTGCAGGCAGGAAAAGACTATTATTAAATCAAATACTTTTCGGACTCCTACAAAATGGCCGCCACCTAGAGCCATTAAGAGCTAAAGAGGAACAGATTCTCTTATTAAATGGCCCAATGGCTCCTATAAACGCCTCTCTGGGCCATTTATTACGTTTATTTATAGTAATTAATTTATTTTCAGGTGACTTAACGATGCTACAGGTTCTATCTATCTATCTATCTATCTATCACAATGTCAACCCCTTAAAAGTCTCTCTCTCTCTCTCTCTCTCTCTCTCCCCACGCCACTATACACGCCTCCCCCACGCCTACAGGGCCGCGTCGTGGGCGTGGGAGGCCGGCGTTGGATGAGGGACAACGCGTCATTAGTGGTGTCACCTGTCGAGAGGGCGGACGCTGGCCTCTACACCTGTCTGGCCTCCAACCGTGAGGGAGACGGCCACTCCAACGCTGTCCTCATCCGGGTGAAACGTGAGTACATACCCCGTTTTACCCATTTGAGTACACACCTGCGTCATCCATGAGTACAAACACCTGTGTCTCCCATACCTCAGTTATCCTTGAGTACACACACACATCTGTTTTACTCCTGAGTACATATACACCAGCGTATCCCACACCTGAATCCCCTTTAAGTACATACACACACACCTGCGTCACCCTTGAGTACACACCTGAGTCATACTTGAGTACATACCTGTCTTACCACCTCATTACCGAACACTTCCTTCTCCCTTTTCTTACCACCACCACCACCACCACCACCAAACACTAACACTATCACCTCCCCCTCACTCTTCCTCCTCCTCTCCACTACCACCACCAACACCATCACCTCCTCCTCGACCCTCCAGCCAACATAAGCCGCTCAACATAAGCTAGAGTGACACTTTGAATCTATAAACAAAAACATTTATTCAAGTCTTACCCTCACCCCTACACCCTCCCTCCCTACACCCTCCTTAACCCCAACACCTCCCTCACCCCCCACACACCCCTCCTCACCCCCCACCCCTCACCCCCACACCCTCCCCACCCCCACACACCCCCCACCCCCACCAGTCACCCCCACACCCCCACCCCACACCCTCCCCACCCCTCCCTCCCCCCACACCCTCCCCACCCCCAACACCCCTCCCCCCCCACACCTCCCCACCCCCCACCCCTCACCCCCACACCCCTCCCCACCCCTACACCCCTTCCTCACCCCCCACACCCCCTCCCCACCCCCACCCCTCCTCACCCCACCCCCAAGCCCCTCCCCACCCCCACCATACACACAGAAGAGCCAAGACTTTGAAAGTTGCTTAGCGTCACAACGTATCAAATCACACTCAAGGTGCCTCACGTTTAGTTTGGTGTGGAGACATGCACAGACAGACAAAAAGAAAGACGGACTAACAGACAAGGCGACAGACACACAGAAAAGAAAAGGATACACGAGGGGAAAAGTTGAGAGAGAGAGGAGGGGGGGGAGAGAGAGAGAGAGAGAGAGAGTTAAACCACAAGAAACCCCCAAAAAAACTGAAAAAAAATTCCCAATATTTACGTCTCGCTATGCCTTTAAGATAACACTCTCCATTTTCTCTTTTTTGTTTACGTATTTTACTCCTACATCTGGCACCTCTTATGTGTTTTTGTTGACGTTGCCGCCATCTTGTTGCCAGAGTCTTTATCCCCCCACCTCATGCGGTACGACAACTCACCCAACCACCACCAGATGTATGATAATAATAAATTACCTCTTGAATTCATTTACTCTTACGTCAGGCAGGTCGGTTGTGTTGTTGTTTATATGTTACGTCATCATCGTCAGGTAGATTCTCATTTGTTTTCTCTTGTATCTATAAATTATTCCTGATTGGCGGTTGAAATTTAGTTAGATAATAAAAATAATCTTCTTTCTTGTTCTTCTTCTTTATTTCTTCTTTCATCAGTGTGTTGCTTCATCATCATTCACTTCCTAGAATCTTTTCCTTGTTTTGTTTTTGTCTATATTTATATTGTTGGTTGTATTGGTTATGTCATTAAGTTCCATTATACAGTAAGATATATAGATTTATTTCATGTTTTTGTAAATTCCTACGGCTGGCACTGCTATGATAATGCTGCCGGGGAGAGTTGCATCATCAAAGGAGACCAAATCCACTCCTGTGCTTTCATGCGGTACGACAACATTTCCCCCCCCTCCTCCCCATCCTCCCCCACATCCTCCTCCCACCGAACCCCCCACCCCACCCGAACACTCAACCTCTCCTCCCTCCCTCCCCCTCCGTGTTTATGTTGTGTTCGTGAGTCAGCTGGGAATCTGATTTTTCCATTCTGGCGCGAACTTTTCCCATGTTTTTTGGTGCCTCGTCACGAACAGTCGGCTGCTGGTATCTTTACGCTAAATCTTGGTGTATTTTGTTGTTGTTTTTCTCTTTCAAAACGTCATAAAGAAGTCTCCAAAGAGGTTTTTGGCTTCGTGTGTGTGTGTGTGTGTGTGTGTGTGTGTGTGTGTGTGGAATTGATCGTTCAACAAACTCTAAAGCCAATAATCTCCATTTAAATTATTTATCTCTTAAAAGGCGAAATCAATTCAAAATTAAAAAAAAATCAAAATTTCATATCTACATTTAACGTATTTACACACGTGACGTCATAACGGTCCGTAGCGATACAGTACACAGGCATTACTATATATCGTTATGGCGGTTGAAACACATAACATCTATTTCTGCAAAGGCGTTATAGATATGAATTCGAATTTCAAATTTAAATTAAACCGTCACTCAATACTAAAGACCGGTATCAACGGTTACTAATCCGCAGCTAACAGCTGACCTGGTTTTTTTGTGGTGAGGTCTCTCTCTCTCTTCCTTCTTCCCTCACTCTCATCATTCTTTCTATCTTCTCTCTGTCTCTTTTCTCTCCTTAATCCCTCACCCTCTCTCCCACTCTTACATTCCATCACTCTATCTCTCATTTCTCCCTGTCCCTCTCTCTCCCCCTCACCTTCTCCTGTCTCTCATTTACATCCCTCTCTCCCTCTCTTTCTCTCCCCTCACCCTCCCTTCATCCCTACAGAAAACATACCAATTTTTCCACTGACCTTAACTACCCAGGGCCTGACCCCCCCTTGTGACACTGACATGAGCTGACCACTAATTCAACTACAGCTGCCTCTACACCGAGTCTAGTGTGATGATGATGGTGATATGATGATGATGATGGTGGGTAGGTCAAATATGCTAGCCCTCAAACACCCCCATCCCTCTACTCTACCCTCAAAATCACCCCCCATCCTCTACTCTACCCTCAAATCACCCCCATCCTCTACTCTACCCCCAAAATCTACATCATACACCCCCTCACCCCTACAGTATTCTAGTCCAAGACACAAACTCATCAAAACTTACAAAAACTCACACCTGGGAGAGCTTCTACCACACACACACACACACACACACACACGTCTCATAAAAGGTCTCTCATTTGTCTCATAAGAGTTTACACATTTATCTCACACTCCTCTTACTATTGTCTCACAATAAGTCTCTCACTATCTCACAATAGATCTCTCACCAGCTCACAATAGATCTCTCACTATCTCACAATAGATCTCTCACTATCTCACAATAGATCTCTCACTATCTCACAATAGATCTCTCACTATCTCACAATAGATCTTTCACTATCTCACAATAGATCTCTCACTATCTCACAAGAGCAGTATCTCAATCTGTATTCGTCTGGACCACAACAAAGGCGCCGCCGACCTCAACAACAGGATGTGAGAGAGGGTTAATTTCCTTCTCAACTTTTTTTGTCCTCTGTGCAAAGTTAATGTCATATTTTGCAGTTAAGTTTGTCCATATTTCAGTATTAGCATAGCATAATGTCTATTCCCACACACACACACACACACACACACACACACACACACACACACACACACACACACACACACACACACACACACACACACCCACACACACACACACCAATAATAATAATATCACCACACACACACACACCATGGTCATCCCACGGTTGGTGTGTTGCAACAAATACAATTTTTATACAATATTGATACTAATATGCAAATTAAGTCATTTCATTCGTGCTCAGTATAAATGCACAACAATACAGTAGTTGTTACGCTTCATTAACTACATTTTTACTGTATAATTATGTGTATGTGTATTATTATTATTTTTGTGTGGGTTCCTTTGGCCTGGTGGTGTGCGGTGGCCGGGTGGACACAACACTCGCCTCTCTTTCACCCAGTTTTTAATGGGTGCCTAAGTTTTGTGTTGGGGAAGTAAAGAGAGTCGAGTACAGTGTCGGCCGTGCTGCCTCCTTAGTATACTCGTACAGTGTTGTGTACACACTGTCCCTAATGGGCCTCCACGCCTAAGAGATACTGTACTCCCATGGCCTGCACTGTCAACTGACTCTTGTGTGTTTGTCTCCCCAACCAGATGCGCCTTACTGTGTGGACCCCGCCCAGCGTCAACTGTTCGTGGCCACCAACACCTCCGTCACCCTCACCTGCCAGGTAGAGGCTGTGCCCGAGGACCTTAAATTCACTTGGAAGATCGGCACACCTGTCGCAGCGCGTGGCCAGGGCCAGGGGAAGATGCCCCCGCCGCCACGACACAGCGGCGACCTCACCTCAGGGCGATTGTCTCATCCTGACGCTGAGGGAGCGTCCTCACAGCCGCACCACTACGTGTCGCAGCCACACAGCCAAGGGAACAGCCTTCCTCCGCCTCCACGACACAGCGCGGGTGTTTCCTCAGGCCAGCCACAGCCTGCTGAGGGCAGTGTGAGTGGTGGAGGGTCCTCACAGCTTCACCTGTCACAGCCACACACCCTCACAGCTGCCAGTGACAGCCTCCTCCCGACCTCTGAGATCCTGCCGTCTCCCAGCCAAGTCTCAGGACCTGTCAGGGTAGCGGGGTCGCCTCAGGTGGTGGTGGCAGCTCCCTTGAGACAGATGGCTGCACCCTCAGGCCAGATGGTGTCCGTTTCGGGGCACATAACAAGTGGCTCACCGGGGCAATTGGTGGCAGCCACAGGAACATCAGCTAGTTTGGGGCAGCTGGAAGACCCCTCGGCACAGATGGCCTCAGTTTCAGGACAAGTGAAAACGACTTCGACCCAGGCGGCATCAGTTTCGGGGGACACGTTGGCCTCCTCAGGACACATGACGCCTGTTTTAGGGCATCAGGGCTCCTTAGGACAGGCCACAGGGGCAAAAGGGTCGGGGCAGGAGTGGCAGAAGTCGTGGGAGATCCTACAGACGGAGGAGGGCGTGGAGTCCGAGGTGGAGGGAACGAGAGACCCCGCCCACCCTGAACGCTCCACCCTCACCCTCACCCCCGCCGCCTCCACCGTCGTCGGCTGTTACGTCAGGAACAGTGTCGGACACACCAGGATACCCTGCACCTACACCCTCACCGTGGTGGGTCAGTACACTACCAGTACACCCACGACACCGCCCTTAATACTACCCGCACCCTCACCACTGTACAGACACTATACACCCACTCCGCCACACACCCACACATACCTCAACTGTACACAGGACCAACCTACACCCCCAACACCCACATCCACCTCCTCTACACCCAAACCCTCATCTCTACCCAAGAACACAAACAAAATATTAACATAAAACAACAAACACAAAACACCCCACATGGCAACCCTCTCTACCAGCTACCAATTAGATCTACAATACATAACAATTAAACACACACACACACACACACACACACACACAAAGCCTTTTATTTAGGTATTATCAGCTCAAAGCCACTTTTGGGCCATGAAATTTTTATTGACTAATTAAAAATACACTGTGTGAAATTACTCAACGCTGCTCCTTTGATTAAACGTGAAATAATGACCAGCAATAAAAATAATTTGTTTTGGTGTGTGTGTGTATACGTACATAGTGTAATGGAAGGAAATTAAGTCATTGTGTGTTCCTGGAAATACCTGCAGTGTTTGTGGTGTTGATTTGATAACTATGTGTGTGTGTGTGTGTGTGTGTGAAAGAGGTGAAGGGAGAAGTAAAAAAGAATTAGAAAACATACATAAATAGATGAGAGAGAGAGAGAGAGAGAGAGAGAGAGAGAGAGAGAGAGAGAGAGAGAGAGAGAGAGAGAGAGAGAGAGAGAGAGAGAGAGAGAGAGAGAGAGACCACGGTGCCACCCAGGTTCCCACTGTCCACAGAGCCACCCAAGGCACTGAAGGACTGCAACGTGACACTGGTGGGCGTGACTCGCATGGAGGTCAAGTGTGACGACCCCGCCCACGCTCGCGACGACCACGCCCACGCCGGAGTGGACGCCGCCCATATGCAGCAACACTCACCCAGCCTCAGTTTCGTCAGGTCACCTCAAGCTGGCAGTCGATCTAACCTGGAGGTGGGTCATGGTGGGTTAGGGGATCTGGAGGTGGGTTATGGTGGGTTGGGGGACCTGCAAGTGGGTTATGGTGACTTCGGGGCCTGGAGGTGGGTTATGGTGGGTTGGAGGACCAGAAAGTGGGTTATGGTGGGTTGGGGGACCTGGAGGTGGGTCATGGTGGGTTGGGAGATGACTTGCACCTGAAGATAGGTCAAAGGAGAGCCGAATTAAGACGCAGGTCATGAGTCACTTCCAACCTAACCTAACCAAATTAACCTTAACCTAACCTACACCCAGCTCCCCATTTAGAATTAGAACATTTAATCACCAGGTGAACTAAACCAAGGCTCCTACTCTTCAGATAATCCCTTTATAAACTGCTACAAATCCTCTGTGTGATACTAAATCCCTTATCATAGAGGATTAGAAGGATCCAAACGTCTCTTCAAGGAGAATACGAACCCCCTTTAAAATTCCTCCTTTGGGAAGTATGGACGTGGTATTGACATTTATACACCATTAATACACCATTAATACACCATTTATACACCATTAATACGCCATTTATACACCATTAATACACCATTTATACACCATTAATACACCATTAATACACCATTTATACACCATTAATACACCATTTATACACCATTAATACACCATTTATACACCATTAATACACCATTTATACACCATTAATACACTACTGGAACAATGAATCAACAGAGCATCTACTTCAAGGTACAGAAGAGGATCTAAACCCAATATCCATAACATAAAGAGAATATAGACCTCTCCTCCCCCCCAACACCAGGAACTATTCTCTACATGGAACCATTAGACTTATTTCCTCCCCCCTCTCTCTGGAAGCAACTAGCCCCTCTCTGGAAGCAACTAGCCCCTCTCTGGAAGCTACTAGACTCCCTCAGTCCTCCAGAGTAACACACTTCCAGGTCCTGTTATCAGTGACCGTCCCTGCCTGACCTTCTGCTTTAGCATGCAGATGTTGTGTGACCCGGAATGAACAGCAGTGCAACCTAAACGTCCAGAGAGACCGACCCCCAATACTGGCCATTTCTGGGTAGTGGACAAGATCACCTCTCTCCCTCTCTCTCTGTTATCCTCGCAGTATCAGCAGTGCCTCTCTCTCTCTCTCTCTACTATCTATCTATCTATCTACTCCATCTATCTTATCTATCTCTCTCTCTCTCTCTCTCGCTCTCTCTGCTCTCTCTCTCTCTCTTCTCTCTCTCTCTCTCTCTCTCTCCCTGTATATATTGGCCATTGTTTACACTGGCTCAGATCACAGTGGCTTCGTTTATATTGACTCTTATATGGATGGCTGAGGGGAGAAGGATGAACAAAGAGGCAGGGTGATGAAAGAAAGGAAGTAAGAGGGACAGGGAGAGGAAGGAGGGAGAGGAAGGAGAGAAGGGAGAAAAGAAAGTGAGGAAAAGAAGTAGGAGAAGAGTAAAAAGTAAGGAACAGCAGTAGAAGGAGGTGAAGGAAGTGAGGAAAAGGAGGATGCAGAGGGAAGGAACTGAGGGAGAGAAGTAGAAAGAAGGAAGGAGAAAGGAGGTGAAATAGGAAGAAGAGAAGAAAGGAAGAGGGAGAGAAGTAGGGAGAGAGAAAGGGGATATCCTAACGAATCTGGGACATGAGAGAGGGTGTAAAATTCCCACCTGTAGGATTATTCTTCCACCTCCTCCTCCTCTTCCACCTCCTCTTTCCCTACCTCACTACCAACCTCTCCTCCTCCCACATCTTCCTTCCCCCAATCCCCTCCTCCTCCTCTTCCATCAGCCAGGTGTGTGTGTGTGTGTGTGTGTGTGTGTGTGTGTGTGTGTGTGTGTGTGTGTGTGTGTGTGTGTGTGTGTGTGTGTGTGTGTGTGTGTGTGTGTGTGTGTGTGTGCAGATGACCACCAAGTACAGCCTCAACCACTACTCGGGTCACTCAATGCTTCAATAACGCTCACTGTAGACGACCCCCACTACATAGAGTCTCTTTACCTGTGTTTGTTAACCTGTGAAGTTTACCTGCGTGTTTACCTGTATCTATTAACCTGTGTTTGTTTACCTGTGTCTATTAACCTGTGTTTGTTTACCTGTGTCTATTAACCTGTGTTTGTTTACCTGTGTCTATTAACCTGTGTTTGTTTACCTGTGTTTATTTACTTGTTTGATTACCTGTGTCTATTAACCTGTGTTTGTTTACCTGATTGCTTACCTATGTCTATGTACCTGTATTTCTTTACGTATCAGAAAGAGAGAAAGAGAACGACAAATACAAAGAGACAAAGAGAAAGTCAGAGAGAGACAGAGTTGTTAAGTTGTGATAATTGCCACAAGTAATTAGTGTTAACTGTTCATTACTTTACGGCTGTTACGTGTCGTTAGTGTTTATCAGGTTATGTCTTATTACTTCATTTATCGTGTTGTTTGCCTTGTCTCGTGTGTGTGTATGTGTGTGTGTGTGTGTGTGCGTGTGTGTGTGTGTACCCCATCCCAACCCTTCTCTCCCTCTCACCCACTCCCTCAGGTGTGGTCGGGGGAGACACTGCCCTCTCACCCACTCTCCCCTCTCCCTCAGGTGTGGTCAGGGGAGACACTGCCCTCTCACCCACTCTCCCCTCTCCCTCAGGTGTGGTCAGGGGAGACACTGCCCTCTCACCCACTCTCCCCTCTCCCTCAGGTGTGGTCGGGGGAGACACTGCCCTCTCACCCA